CAAAAAGCAGCAGGCTGATGTCCTTGGAGAAAGGATTTCAGGCCTTATAGAGATTGCCATCATTTGGCCCGTTTTGGGGATGTGCCCAGTGGAGATGGTTCAGTGGAGATGATACTATCTCTTTTTCTTTTTCTTTTTCTTTTTCCTTTTCTTTTTTTTTTTCTTATTTTTCTTTTTCTTCTTCTTTTTTGTTAGTTTTGTAACTAGGTAACAAAATGCAGTCTTTGCCCTGAGTATTTTAGTGCTTTTATCATGAGCAAAAAAAGTGGGTTTAAATCAGGAAACCTGAAAGCTTCCCTGTAACAGAGTAGGGGAAGCCAAACTGAAGGTCACTTCTAACTGCAGCAAAAGAAAGCATAAATATTAGCCACAAAAGGCAGAGTCTTTACGCTCTATTCTGCTCTATATACAGCACATTTTGGAACAGAAATTGCAGAACATTATATATTTTTAATGCATATTTTATTTTTGCTACAGATGTGAGTGAGAAGGTGGGTAGGAGTTGTGTGGGAGGAGAAGTGATAGGAACTGGGTGGAAAGAGAAGTGTCTAAACTGTTTGCGAGGGAAAGCAAACACCTCCTCACAAAAACGATAGCATGACAATGCACTAAGACAAGACAAAATCTGATCAGTGTAAGAGATCACACTCCCTCTACAAGGGAGAGCCTTGTACAAGAAGACCAGAGGTGATAGAGAACTGAGATGTTCATATAGCAGTGTTGCATAATATGCTAGATCAAGAGGAAAATGATACAGAATTTGGTACAGGCTTGTTCCAGACTCCTGCACCAAGTTCCCCAGTTCTCAGAGCAAACACACTTTGTCTCTTGCTGCTACTTCTGAGCCACACTTCATCTTGCTATTTCAAACCACAAGGCACTAACTCATTCCTTTGGGAGAACAAAATAAAACTGATATTGTTTTTATTGTCTGTGATTTTAACTTTTCTCTGTGCTCAAGTAAGAGGAATAATCCAACATCTCTTAAGAGGGCAAACTTGCATGAAAGGTGAGTTCAGTGTGTGTTCATGACTCCCAAATATAGGCAGGCACATGTGTGATAAGTGTTTAAACTTAAAGTCAATGGACACCCAATCAACAGAGTCAATGAAGCCTGCAGAGCAATTCAGCTCATTCCTGACACCTTGTAGCTGGCCAGCTGAATCAATCTCCAGCATTCATTGACTGCGGTTGGAATTAGATACCTGGAAATATGTAGAGACCTACATTTAAGTATCAAGAATTATAAATATCAAGTATTAAAGCACAGCTACTTGATGTGGCTTTCACATTCAGTCAATCATTTTTTTATTGAATATGACCATATTTTCTCCCCTAGGACTTTGCCCTGAAAAAATTACAGCATAGTCTGTGTTTACCTCTTTTCTAAAAATATGAGACTTGTGCTACTGCCTATCAGCAAGGATGTACGCACAATGTGTGGCCTTATGGCTCTTGCAAATCATTTGTGCACAGGCAGATGATTTTCCTTATATGACAAAATATTGCCTAACCTTGATAGGCAATGTAAATTAGCATGGGAAGTAGAATTTTAAAGGGCAAGGATGGCATCAAGAAACATTATGTTTTATTTGTCTTACAGATTGCATTTCCCTAGTAGATGGAGAACTTGAGGTTAGATCAGAGTTCAAGCTGCCTCTAACTCTAGCCTTGGTCCAGACTTCCCACAAATTTTTAACAAGTCAGTTAATATAGTTTCCATAGTTATATGTCAATTAGTATTCAAAATACTATTTAATAGTCTTTAAATTAGATCTAATAAAGTAAATAGGTTTTGGGAAGGATATGTTCAATCATATTGTTGATGTTTACATTACTATATTTTAAAGACAGAATCAAGAAGGATTTGTTTTTAGTAATTAATCACAGCAGCACAGTGAATTACAGGAAGAAGAAACCAGCATTAAAAAGATCTTACACTGGGAAAAAAAAACAAAAAGCAAAAAAAGCATTTTATCATAAACATAACACTACAATTTAATTCATTTTGTGCTATTTGAAACACTCTTGTCATTTGAAACCCATAACATTTTCCATTATTCTTCTATTTGCTTTCAGGGTTCAGCTATGATTCATTTTGTCTCTCTGCACAAAAGTGTTTTGAATATCTCTCGGCTTTCAGAGATAGGTTTTCAACATTTTCAGCCAATTCCACATAAAAATATGGCTATCCCTGTTATTCCTAAGGCTTGCTTCGTTTTCAGAGGCAGATCTCTGTCACTGCGATCCTGCGATGCCATCTGGTGGCATTTGGGAAAAATAAGCTGGAATTCCAGGCCTTGTCCAGGTGGCTGAAGCTGAGTCCATGCTTCCCCAGAAGCCCTGGTGGGCTCTGTGCTTGGGCTCCTCTCCGTTGTACAACCCACAAAATAGAGATTCTCATCAGACTCTTATTTATTCCATAAATAAGACATGAGCACCCTGTATTCAACGTTCCTTGCTCTCCTGAACTAAAGGAATGGCACTGGGATGGTGGATTCAGCTCTTTGTAGGTGAGCACACACTCCTCTCAGCCAGTCAATCATTTTTCCCCATATTTGCAGCACAGGAATTAAGAATGTGCCATGATCTTCCACACGGGAGATTGAAGCTTAAGAATATAAGTTACCTTGCCCGAGGTCAAACTGATGGGCTTTAGAAAAATCAGAAATTAAATCCAGATCTCCAAAGCCTAAATCACTTACTTACTACATTTTCTGTTGGCAAGAAGCATGAGCCGTCCTAAGTTAATTAGAAATACTAGCTTTGAGGGCACTATTTGATCTTGGTAAATCAGATTTGTCATTATTTCAAGAAGCAAACAGAAAAACTCTCTCACTAAGGACATAACTGTTTCTGATGGATGAAACAAGAAGGAATAAATGGAAAGAAGCAGACCTGTGGAACCTTTATAAAATTAGGGTATCTGGGAACCTTCACCAGACACTTATCTGAGATTAATCAGCTCTAAAACTAGCCTGTGCATGAAATCTGTTTTCTTTGAATATGGAAAATGGAGTAATAATGGTTATTTGTGACTAAGTCAGCACTGCCTGACTTGGTGATTGCCTGAGGATATGCATGAAGTCTAATTTACTAATTATTTCCATCCCCCTCTGCTCAATGAACAAATAAACTTCTTTTGCATGACAAGTAAACGCTGCAGCTACACTGGCAAGTCTAATTAGAACTTATGGAAAACACTGCTGTGAAAGAGACAAAAACAGAGTTCAAAATTCAAGTGCAGCTGCTCTCCACAGTGCTATTTATGGTCACTTAGGAATACAGGAAAAATGGAAATGGATTTTTAAAGTTGTTTCTGATCTGCAGATCTCCGAGAACAATGTGCTGTGAAAGGCTTTGATCTCATAGTTGTCTTCCAATCAGCCTTCTCTTGAGGCCATCTAGTCAAGCAAAAAACAAAATGGAAAAATGCCTTGAAGAAATTTCCATTTCTATTTTTCAGGTTTCTTGTCTGTGTTCTTCCTGGCACAAACATTTGCCTGCCTTTGTGTTGATAACCATGAAGGAGTCTATCTGGATGGCTATTTAGTTTTCTATGAATTTCGTACTTGGGCTTATCTTGGCGGCACTTCTTAAATAGCTCTTACTTGCTCTTTCTCATTTTTCTCACTATATTTGCAAGGGCAAGATTTAGATAAACACATCACTACAGTCCTCATGACTGCAGATTACTGCTTTCCTTTGGCGCTGACTTGCCAGATGTTCCATGTGCCATAGAGCAGCAGCAGTCAACTTTTTATGCCAAAGCTTTGAAAGATATGGAAGGCAAATTCCCTTTTCATACAACAGGCCAGTAGCCACGACAGCCATAACAAATGTAGGACAACCTGATTCAGCAGCCCCTGAAGGCACGTGAGCATTTATTGTGTCACAGGACCAAGCCACCACCAAGGAGGTGCCCAGGCTACAACCAGCTCCTTCCCCTGCTGCAAACCAAGTGGTGCTGAGTGATTCACAGGGACATAACTCTATAGTGTGACATGCCAGCCTCGTGGGTAGCACATTCATCTGAAACGAGGTCTCAGTTCTTTAACTTTGGGCTGTTGATGTATTGCATAAGAAGCAGTCACAGCTAATATCATTCTGGTATTGTTGCCTTCATTTTCTGTAAGGTGGCATCATGTGATGGACACTTAACTACTTTTCCAAGACCTTCATTGTCATTCCAAAATCTTTCACATTCAGATTGTTCCAATCAGATGTTCAATTACTTGAAACAGCCTAAAACATGAATGCTCTGTTCTTGAATTGCACGCTAGCAATATATACATGAAAGGAAAATTAAAATGACAATTCTGGAACTAAGTATGCAAAATATAACCCCAGGCTACACTGCCTTTTTATTGTCTAACATCTGGAAATGAATTTCAGTGTGATCATCAAATTCATTAGAGGAGCAAAGATAATTAACCTAATCTAATGAATCTTTTACTTGTATTAGAACACTTGATAAGAGGTCAGGTGCCCACTAGGTGGCACCCATAGTCTGGATGATTTTTTCCTACCACTTTTTATCCTCAAAAAAAGGGAAAAAAAAAAAAAAAAGGGAAGATAAAACTGAGAAATATCTTTGGACTCAGTGATGCCTTTTCGGTCAAAATGGAAATGGATAATGGGCTGGATTGGGAGGTGCTGAGGTCTGCATAGCTGTTGGCCTCTTCTTTGGGTTGTTGCCATGGTGCAGGTACTACCAAGCAGATTCTTATACTGAGTTAAGTACAACTAACACCATTAACAACTGCATAAAAAGCAAGAAAAAGAAACTGTATGACAAGTAAGAGCAAACAAATAAAATATTCAGGGGTAAACTCTTGCCAGTTTGGATTTAACTAACAAATGGATTACCATTTTAAGCAAGAAATAGCAGAGCATGGAAGCCAAGAAGGCTGTAGGAAGCCTTCTTTATGTGTCCCATGTAATACAGGCAGAGAACAAGAGAAAGTAATTGGCTGGTGAAACCAAAGGCAGATACTTACAGATAAGATTTGATCCCCTCTCTGCAGTTCTCCGCTGAGATCAGCAGGGCCGCCTGCTAGGATGAAAGACACGAAAATGCCTTCCCCATCTTCGCCGCCCACAATGTTGAAACCAAGTCCTGTGGAGCCCTTGTGCAGGATGATTTTTCGAGGCTCTCTGTATAGAAACAAAATGGTAATGTTTATCCATTCAAAATTTTGAGGATACATCTCTTAAGACATCTTCAGCATACTAGCAAATGTTATCTAAGACTCAGTGGACATGCTACTACCTAAGGAAATCACTTCATAAAGCATATAGGTATATTATTTGGAGACCAGAGAAAGTAGGAATTAACCAGGCGCTGTTTTCTTAACTCATGGGTGAATCCAAACTTCTCTGTGAACTCCTTTCAATTGCCGCAATCTTCGCTTGGTTAAATAGTGAATTTCTTTAAATAAATAAATAAATAAATAAAATAACCTTGAAGACATTTTATAATCTTATGTACAGTGATACTGTATATACAAACGCAATCCATCTTGACACAATGCCATTTTGCTTTTGAGAGCTGGTCTTGCTTTTTAAACAAATACATGAACAAAGAAGTTCAAAAAAACTAGACAAGGAAATAGCAAGCATGTTCAATCCAAGATTTGGAGCAAATAACATTTATATGATCAATACAGAAGAAACTCATGCAAAGGTCTGGTTTGACATCATCAGGAACTCACACTTGTAAAATCACATAACAGTGTTATTGCTGAGCCAAGATTAAGGATGTTCGCTTATTTTTACCATTTTTAAGAGTTCTTATAATGATGGAAATCAATAAATAATAACTGTCACACAGCACTTTCTAGTTGTCGATTGAAAGTATGTCCCAAAGGAAGTGAAGTTCATAATGTGCATTTTACTGATGGGAAAGCAGACAGAAGAGATGACTCTCTTAGCAATCAAGATAATGTGACTGAGGCAGTGTCCCAGGAATCTGATTTCCAGTCTTTACTGTATGCACCAGGCCTCAGACCTGCCTCTCTGCTGGGTACAGAAGCACGGACAAGCATATATGCAAACACACATCATTTACACGTACTTACCTAATTTCAAATCCCTCTAACAAATTTACTCTCCAGAAAAGGAGTGCACAGACTGTTATGTGAATATGTGAAAAACCTATGCCCCAGTCCTGCAAATATCCACAGGATGTAGATATAACTCATCTGTGATTTCTCACAGAAACATAGAATCTTCTTAGAATTCTTAATTTTTTCAAGCAGTGATTATAAGCGAAAGGACAAGCATAAACACACACACAGAAAAGCTCCCAAGAAACATATTCCAGAATGTATTAGTATTTACTATGTACCAGACAATAGTTTTATACATATAATGGTGCTATATAACAGGAATATAATTTCCAGTCCTTCCTTTGTTCCTTCCTTCCTTTCTGTGAGAGGACAAAGGGATGCACCAAGGTATGTGTTTTGATGTGTGTAAAGCTTTATGGTTGTATAATTGGAAACTTAGTCTTTATAGAATAATTTCAAAATTAGTAGGAATTTGTTCAGCTTTGCCCAGAGCGAATGCTCATACAATATCTCCAGCTTGATAATGATCTTTAGTTAACATCTCTGTTTGCTGATGCTTAAGCTTTCTAGTTTTAAAAGAAACAAACTAAAGAATATTGTCTGATAGTGTTTTAAAAAGCAGATTACATGCCTTACTGAAAGTATTAGTCCTACTCCATATGGTACTCCATCTTATAACATTTTCTTATCTCTACCTGGCCATAAAACAATGTTAAAATACATCTCTGAAAAAAAAAGTTGTATTTGTATCAGGATATATTTGTATATTCTTGAAGTATTCTTAAACAACAAGAAAAGAAAGGGATTTTTTTTTCTCTTTTAGATGATCGAAATAGATTTGCCTTCTTGTACAATTTAGCACCTCCTTAAGTACGCGCAGATTAGGTATAATGTAATCCAGAAGCAAGAAGGCTACATAGACCTGTCCCTAAGAGCTGGGACAGAATTAGGACAATGAACTGGAGGAGCAGGTTCCTTCCCCAGCTCAGCCCGTGAGCTGCTGAATGATCTTGGCAAGTCACTCATTTCTTTCGGCCTCAGTTTCCTCAAAATGACAGGATGATGCTGGTCTTTTTTTGAGTCCTGCAGATCAAAAGTGCTTTGTGAGAGCTGAGCTACTACCATTATTATTTACTGGGGTGTTGAGGAAAAAGAAGCAGTGAAGAAGTCAAACACATATATTTGCATTCTCTGCTGGTGGGTAATCAGAAGAATTTTTGTTAAAATTGAGATTGAGTATTTCCAGGTATGACATGCTTAGATCCTCACGGTGAAAGCTGGTGATTTCTGCAGTCAGTGTTATGGGCAAAACTAGGTCAATGCAATCTGCTGAACACTCAGCTGTAGAGCTCAACAAAAAGTTGGCCCAGTTACTAAACCCTGTGTCTGCTCAAGTCAGCAGATATCTGCCTGAAACGGTCAGCATTGTTTTGTAATTTTGGCTGTTTGACAGCAAAATTCACATTTTGTTCTTGGATGATTATATTCGGAGGAAGCTCAAACAATACCGGGGACGTGGCAGAAGCTGTGATTAGAACACAACCGTTTTTGGCTCTCGGTCTTGAGCTTAATCAGGTCAATTTGGCCACATCTGAAATTTGGCTCAATAGAGACTGATCAGTGGTGCCAAACGTTCAGTTTTGTTTCATTTCTGAGTGTCTTGTGGAATCTGAATGGGGATCCAACAATGCACAAGTGCTATTGTCCTGATGATAGAAATAATCTTTGGCAATGATTATTGCAAAACTACAAAAAATAGGAAGTATATGCCCATTCACCAATATCCATCATAAAAATAGTTTATGCCTTCATACTGCATTTAGCCTGAAAATGAACTAATGATGATGATAAATCTTTGCAGCATGCAATGAAGTTGAAGTAGGAAGAAAGTTTCCTACTTTAACAAACCACCTACTAGCAGCTGACTTGGTCTCTTATGAGTATGGTAGAAGTTATGTAGTAATGCTTTACTTGAACTTAAAGAAAAAATCTCTGATGACTATGTGATATATTTATTCATCTGGCATATAAATTCATAGTCATCTTTTATGTTTCCTTTGAGACAATAGGTGGCACTCTATAGCTACTAAAAAGGAACAGTTTTACTGAAGGCAAGTCTCTGCCTCCAGCTTTAACCCATGATCACATTCACAATTTCTTCTGTGATAAGCATGGGTGAAGGTAAGTTTCTAGGTGCTAACAAAGTGCCCCAGCACTTTAATTTGGTGTGTGCATATTTTATGCCCTCCTGCAGCTCCATAGCAAACACAAGCAGAGAAGAGCAGCAGGAGAAATCAAGCAGAAAATAGTAAAGAGAGTGAGGTGAAAATACTTCTGCACTGACAGAAGGCAGCAGAAGGTAAAAAATATAAAAGCAAAAAAAAAA